TCCCAACAATTTCTAACAAAACAGATTATACTTCACAAGAATAACGAATATCACAAGAGAATATTAGACAAAACATGAGATTCGTATAAAAGTGTCAGTGGCAGAGTGTATATCCAGAGGTACATTTTTCTAGTCCTGTGCAAACAGACATGGCACTCTGATATGGCTATAACCCCGGGAAGATAATTCAGCAAGTGATTCAGTATCAGTTAGGTGAAGGCTCGAACAAACGAAGAAAGCCGAAACCACGTTCTCCCAGGGTCACGTGCAACGACAACATTCTCCACGCAAAAATGCCGTAAACGGAGTTGCATTGTGAAGATTTTCCTCTTTTCAATAATTTTTTCATCAGGAAGCTCAAATCCTTCACTGAAAGCAATAACTGAGATCTGTGAAGCAATCAGTCAAGAAATTATGAGCTGCCAAAAACACAGTTCTTTCGTCTTATGGCTTACTAAGGATAAAGCAATTCAAATTACGATATTTCTAGGCCAAAAAGCATCAAAAAAGTCAACCGAAGGGTTTTCATTCAAACATGATGGTTAGGGGGCTGTACAGATGATTCCCGCCCCTAATCACTTCTCCTGCTGTCTGTGTTTACAGCTCAGGGATGAAACACAGGCAAGCTGTCTTCCACATAAACCGCTTTACATTTCCTCTTCGGTTTTTGGTACATGTTTTTTGCTAAATGTTCAATACCATTGTCTTCTTTACCTTACTATATTTCCGTCCCCCTTCCATTTTAATAAAATGATTACCGGATTTTGGATCTTCTCCATCTTATGGACGGCCTATTCAGAGTCATCCAGTACCGGTTCAACCCTTACTTTTCCTAATTCCTTCCGCCCACTGGGCCCAAACGGCCCGTGGGGTCTTTTACTTGCGCTTAGTCTTTTCAGCCAAATTTTGGTGTTTTTTTAGCTTTTTAGGCTCAGTTTTTTTTTTTCGCTGAAAAAATCCCATCAACAATGTTTAAAAACGACTTTCAGCTTTCAAAATTCCAATACGTTAATTACCGATTAATATATGAAAAAAGAAAATGAACTCACCCATCTTCGACAAGTTCTGCCGGAAAATGAAGTACGGAGTCGGCACGCGCCAAAACGTAAACACGAGTGTTTGTTGCAACTTTTCGTGGGCCCTTCAAATTTTCACTTACTACAAGTGACGATGAGATCATACGCTGCTCCCTGTAAACGTATTGCAGAAATCAAAGCGTTTAAGAACAAGGACAATTTACATTAATAAATGTTTTGGAAGTTTTTTTTTTTAAAAAAGGGAGAAAAAAATTGAAAAATGTAAACTATGGATATTTGTTTGGCGCTGTAGGTCAGCCAATAAAAAGGACACAGTCGAATATAGTCAGTTGTGGGAAAGCAGTGAGTGCTAATTCAGATACCCAGATA